ACCTCTCCATTGCTCCTCTACTGTCGATTCCATACCAGCCTGCAGCTGCATCACCACCAATGGTCCTGAGATTTTGGATAGTGTTCTGACAGCTGAAGAAATACCTCAACAGTGAGAGTCACAGGCCAAAAGCCTGAAACTAGGTAGATATGAGTGCAATTATTATGATCCTTACGTATCAGATATGAGTGCAATTATTATAAACCTATTCATAACCAGTTTCCGGAGACATCTATCATTCTCTCTCATAAATCAGAGAATCTCTATTAGATCACCTCAGGGTTATCTTATGCAGTGTTGTTGTAGCTGTGTTGGTCCCGGGATATTAGAAACACAGGGTGGGTGAGGTAATATCTTTTATTGGACCAGCTTCTGTTGGTGAGAGAGACAAGCTTTCGAGCTTCCACTGAGCTCTTCTTCAGGTCATTGTGAAATGACCTTCAGGGCCTGAAGAAGAGCTCTGAGTAAGCTCAAAAGCCTGTCTCTCTCACCAACAGAAGTTGGTCCAATAAAAGATATTAGCTCACCCACCGTGTCTGAGATATATTGTTATTATTCAGAACAGACAGGAGTGGCTGTAAAAATCAACGTCCAATCACCCCAAGGGGAGAACAGAAGGTTTAAACCCGCAAAATAAGCAGTTAAATCAACTGATTGTATCCAGTGCTAGTGTACTATAAAATATATTAAGGTCTTTTATGAAAGTGTACCCTGTTCTGTACTTGATGGTGGCTATCAGATATGTACACAGACTATGGTTATAAATGTATGTATTTGTGTATGTAGAAAACTGTACTTCTAATTTTTGGGGAAGCTTCAGCTCCACCTAGGGTGACCAGACGTCCCGATATTTAGTTGTTTGTCCTGCGTGCCAACAGATGTATGGTTGGGACGCCATTTGTCCTGATATTTTGGCTCGGGACTGGAGGAGTACACTGGTAAGAGGTCACCTGGGATCCCGGCGGTGCTTATTTAGGGCGGCTCCCAGGAAACGGCGGGCAGCAGGACCCTGCAGCCCCTAGGCACGGGGCGACCAGGGCGGGGTCTCTGCCTGCTGCACCTACCACAAACACTGGCTCCGTTGTGGCCAGTGGGAGCTGCGGGTGCGGACAGGGCGCAGAGCCCCCCTGGCTGACCCTGATCCTGGGGCGCTGCGTGCTACTCACGCCCCCAACTAAGTCCTGCCCCCACCGCTTCAAGCCAATGGCAGCTGGAGCCAGTGCTTGTGGCAGGTGCAGCACGTGGAGTGGAGACTCCTCTGGCCGCTGCTGACCCTAGGAGCCAGAGGAACCTGCCAGGTGCTTCCCAGTGAGTGGGAACCGACCCCCAGGTAAGTAGCAGGGCTGCGGCTGGGGCCCTGTGCCCGCAGTTTGTGGCGGGGCTGCGGTCGGGAGCTGGGGCTGTATGTTTCTGACAGGGCTGGAGCGGGGTCCGTGTACTCCTGACCCATGGTGGGGCTGGGGCCCTGCGCCCCCAACCCGTGGCTTCCTCAGGCTTTGTATCCTCCTTCCCCCATAGCTCCAGTGGGGGGGGGGTGAGTCTGTGGCTGTCCCCCCACCCCCATGTGTCCTGATATTTTGTTCTTGTCATCTGCTCACCCTAGCTCCACCTCACAGCAGGGTGGTGAAGCAGTCAAGAAGGGAGAAGCATCTCCCAAGCCAGATGTTTACACAAAGCCAACTTCAAGTACCCCTCCATTATCCAGCCTGGGAAATGACAGTGAGGGACCATTAGAGTTAATGTGAAGACATTCCTCACATTTCATACCTATAGTGACTGAAGAAAAATACTGCAACCCCTTTTAAAATGGAAGGGGTTTGAAGTGAAATCCATCCAGAAACTGAGGGACAGCCTCTAGGCGGGAGGCTGTGTGTGAGTATTGGGTTTCCTCCTTTTGACAGGAGGTACGCTGGGAAACTGTGCAAAGGCAATAGTTAACTTGTATTCGAAAAAAGGATTTTATCTACTATGGAAGTGTAAAATCCAAGGGTGCGACTTTTAGTTTGTGTGATTTGTATGTGTTTGCTTCCCTATATTATTTCATCTTTGAATCTGTGGTTTTTCTATTAAATAAACTTTTGGTTTTTATTCCAAGCAGGATTCTGGTGTGTAAACTGTGTGGAGTGTGGGGAGCACAAGTGACGTGATGACTGGGGGGGCTGGTTTCACGCCATCAGTGGTGATGAACCAGAGGGGAACTGTCTGAGTGTCTGGTAGTTAAGAACTTGGGGAGCACAGATATGGGGAGACTTGGGACTACAAAGGCTGTTGGTGTCACCCTCCAAGAGGTAACTAGGCTGGTGAAAGCCAGAGTGAGACCTTGTGCTTGTGGGCACAATACTGATGTCAGGGATCCAAGCCTCAGGGTATGTCTACACTACGGAATAAGGTCGAATTTATTGAAGTCGGTTTTTTAGAAATCGGTTTTATATATTCGAGTGTGTGTGTCCCCACAGAAAATGCTCTAAGTGCATTAAGTGCATTAACTCGGCGGAGCGCTTCCACAGTACCGAGGCAAGCGTCGACTTCCGGAGCGTTGCACTGTGGGTAGCTATCCCACAGTTCCCGCAGTCTCCGCTGCCCATTGGAATTCTGGGTTGAGATCCCAATGCCTGATGGGGCTAAAACATTGTCGCGGGTGGTTCTGGGTACATATCGTCAGCCCCCCGTTCCCTCCCTCCCCCCGTGAAAGCAAGGGCAGACAATCATTTCGCGCCTTTTTTCCTGAGTTACCTGTGCAGACGCCATACCATGGCAAGCATGGAGCCCGCTCAGGTAACCGTCACCCTATGTCTCCTGGGTGCTGGCAGACGCGGTACGGCATTGCTACACAGTAGCAGCAACCCCTTGCCTTGTGGCAGCAGACGGTACAGTACGACTGGTAGCCGTCATCGTCATGTCTGAGGTGCTCCTGGTCACCTCTGTGAGGTCGATCAGGAGCGCCTGGGCAGACATGGGCACAGGGACTAAATTTGGAGTGACTTGACCAGGTCATTCTCTTTAGTCCTGCAGTCAGTCCTATTGAACCGTCTTATGGTGAGCGGGCAGGCGATACGGACTGCTTACAGTCGTACTGTACCATCTTCTGCCGAGCAGCCATGAGATGTGGATGGCATGCAGTCCTTCTGCACCGTCTGCTGCCAGCCAAAGATGTAAAAGATAGATGTAGTGGATCAAAACAAGAAATAGACCAGATTTGTTTTGTACTCATTTGCTTCCCCCCCTCCCCTGTCTAGGGGACTCATTCTTCTAGATCACACTGCAGTCACTTACAGAGAAGGTGCAGCGAGGTAAATCTAGCCATGTATCAATCAGAGGTCAGGCTAACCTTCTTGCTCCAATAAGGACAATAACTTAGGTGCACCATTTCTTATTGGAACCCTCCGTGCAGTCCTGCCTGAAATACTCCTTGATGTACAGGCACCCCCTTTGTTGATTTTAGCTCCCTGAAGCCAACCCTGTAAGCCGTGTCGTCAGTCGCCCCTCCCTCCGTCAGAGCAACGGCAGACAATCGTTCCGCGCCTTTTTTCTGTGCGGACGCCATACCACGGCAAGCATGGAGCCCGCTCAGCTCACTTTGGCAATTAGGAGCACATTAACCACCACACGCATTATTCAGAAGTATATGCAGCGCCAGAATATGGCAACGCGATACTGGGCGAGGAGGCGACGTCAGCGCGGTCCCGTGAGTGATCAGGACATGGACACAGATTTCTCTGAAAGCATGGGCCCTGACAATGCATGCATCATGGTGCTAATGGGGCAGGTTCATGCTGTGGAACGCCGATTCTGGGCTCGGGAAACAAGCACAGACTGGTGGGACCGCATAGTGTTGCAGGTCTGGGACGATTCCCAGTGGCTGCGAAACTTTCGCATGCGTAGGGGCACTTTCATGGAACTTTGTGACTTGCTTTCCCCTGCCCTGAAGCGCATGAATACCAAGATGAGAGCAGCCCTCACAGTTGAGAAGCGAGTGGCAATAGCCCTGTGGAAGCTTGCAACGCCAGACAGCTACCGGTCAGTTGGGAATCAATTTGGAGTGGGCAAATCTACTGTGGGGGCTGCTGTGATGCAAGTAGCCCACGCAATCAAAGATCTGCTGATATCAAGGGTAGTGACCCTGGGAAACGTGCAGGTCATAGTGGATGGCTTTGCTGCAATGGGATTCCCTAACTGTGGTGGGGCTATAGACGGAACCCATATCCCTATATTGGCACCGGAGCACCAAGCCGCCGAGTACATAAACCGCAAGGGGTACTTTTCGATAGTGCTGCAAGCTCTGGTGGATCACAAGGGACGTTTCACCAACATCAACGTGGGATGGCCGGGAAAGGTGCATGACGCTCGCATCTTCAGGAACTCTGGTCTGTTTCAAAAGCTGCAGGAAGGGACTTTATTCCCAGACCAGAAAATAACTGTTGGGGATGTTGAAATGCCTATATGTATCCTTGGGGACCCAGCCTACCCCTTAATGCCATGGCTCATGAAGCCATACACAGGCAGCCTGGACAGTGGTCAGGAGCTGTTCAACTACAGGCTGAGCAAGTGCAGAATGGTGGTAGAATGTGCATTTGGACGTTTAAAGGCACGCTGGCGCAGTTTACTGACTCGCTTAGACCTCAGCGAAACCAATATTCCCACTGTTATTACTGCTTGCTGTGTGCTCCACAATATCTGTGAGAGTAAGGGGGAGACGTTTATGGCAGGGTGGGAGGTTGAGGCAAATCGCCTAGCTGCTGGTTACGCGCAGCCAGACACCAGGGCGGTTAGAAGAGCACAGGAGAGCGCGGTACGCATCAGAGAAGCTTTGAAAACCAGTTTCATGACTGGCCAGGCTACGGTGTGAAAGTTCTGTTTGTTTCTCCTTGATGAACCCCCCCGCCCCTTGGTTCACTCTACTTCCCTGTAAGCTAACCACCCTCCCCTCCTCCCTTTAATCATTGCTTGCAGAGCCAATAAAGTCATTGCTGCTTCACAGTCATGCATTCGTTATTCATTCATCACACAAATAGGGGGATGACTACCAAGGTGTCCCAGGAGGGGTGGTGGAGGAGGGAAGGAAAATGCCACACAGCACTTTAAGCACAGCACTTTAAAAGTTTACAACTTTAAAATTTATTGAATGACAGCCTTCTTTTTTTTGGGCAATCCTCTGTGGTGGAGTGGCTGGTTGGCCGGAGGCCCCCCCACCGCGTTCTTGGGCGTCTGGCTGTGGAGGCTATGGAACTTGGGGAGGAGGGCGGTTGGTTACAGAGGGGCTGCAGTGGCAGTCTGTGCTCCAGCTGCCTTTGCTGCAGCTCAGCCATACACTGGAGCATACTGGTTTGGTCCTGCAGCAGCCTCAGCATTGAATCCTGCCTCCTCTCATCACGCTGCCGCCACCTTTGAGCTTCAGCCCTGTCTTCAGCCCGCCACTTACTCTCTTCAGCCCTCCACCTCTCCTCCCGGTCATTTTGTGCTTTCCTGCACTCTGACATTATTTGCCTCCACGCATTCGTCTGTGCTCTGTCAGTGTGGGAGGACAGCATGAGCTCGGAGAACATTTCATCGCGAGTGCGTTTTTTTTTTCTTTCTAAGCTTCACTAGCCTCTGGGAAGGAGAAGATCCTGTGATCATTGAAACACATGCAGCTGGTGGAGAAAAAAAAAGGGACAGCGGTATTTAAAAAGACACATTTTATAAAACAGTCGCTACACTCTTTCAGGGTAAACCTTGCTGTTAACATTACATACATAGCACATGTGCTTTCGTTACAAGGTCGCATTTTGCCTCCTCCCACCGCGTGAACGGATTTTGGTTGAATGCCAGCAAACATACACTGCAATGCTTTGTTCTACAGTGATTCCCGAGTACGTGTTACTGGCCTGGAGTGGTAAAGTGTCCTACCATGAAGGACGAAATAAGGCTGCCCTCCCCAGAAACCTTTTGCAAAGGCACAACCGCAAATGCCAGGGCAAAGTAATCCTTTCACATGCTTGCTTTTAAACCATGTATAGCATTTTAAAAGGTACACTCACCAGAGGTCCCTTCTCCACCTGCTGAGTCCAGGAGGCAGCCTTGGGTGGGTTCGGGGGGTACTGGCTCCAGGTCTAGGGTGAGAAACAGTTCCTGGCTGTCGGAAAAACCGGTTTCTCCGCTTGCTTGCTGTGAGCTATCTACAACCTCCTCATCATCATCTTCTTCGTCCCCAAAACCTACTTCCGTGTTGCCTCCATCTCCATTGAAGGAGTCAAACAACACGGCTGGGGTAGTGGTGGCTGAACCCCCTAAAATGGCATGCAGCTCATCATAGAAGCGGCATGTTTGGGGCTCTGACCCAGAGCGGCTGTTCGCCTCTCTGGTTTTCTGGTAGGCTTGCCTCAGCTCCTTCAGTTTCACGCGGCACTGCTTCGGGTCCCTGTTATGGCCTCTGTCCTTCATGCCCTGGGAGATTTTCAGAACGGTTTTGGCATTTCGAAAACTGGAACGGAGTTCTGATAGCACAGATTCCTCTCCCCAAACAGCGATCAGATCCCGTACCTCCCGTTCGGTCCATGCTGGAGCTCTTTTGCGATTCTGGGACTCCATCATGGTCACCTGTGCTGATGAGCTCTGCATGGTCACCTGCAGCTTGCCACGCTGGCCAAACAGGAAATGAGATTCAAAAGTTCGCGGTTCTTTTCCTGTCTACCTGGCCAGTGCATCTGAGTTGAGAGTGCTGTCCAGAGTGGTCATAATGGAGCACTCTGGGATAGCTCCCGGAGGCCAATACCATCGAATTGTGTCCACAGTACCCCAAATTCGAGCCGGCAACGTCGATTTAAGCGCTAATCCACTTGTCAGGGGTGGAATAAGGAAATCGATTTTAAGAGCCCTTTAAGTCGAAATAAAGGGCTTCATTGTGTGGACGGGTGCAGGTTTAAATCGATTTAACGCTGCTAAATTCGACCTAAAGTCCTAGTGTAGACCAGGGCATAGCAACACAGAATTAAGACACCTTAAGGTTACAGGACAGGCGGTGACAGAACCCCTTACAGGTCTGGGTGATTTCAAAAACATCACAGTGGCTTCATAGCAAAAGTTTTGGCAACAGAAATATGTAAATCCCTTTCCTCCCCAAGTAACAGGTGTTTCATATGTAATTGCTTCAAGAAAATCCATCCTGTCCCTCCTTTTAAGTCTAATTCCTGCATGACTTCTATCAGTTGCTGTCCCCAAGAACTAATATTTTTCCTGTGTTGTAAAAATATTTTTCTTTCGGCTCCTGTTTATACTTCCTAACCTTTCCGGTCCAAATTTCCCATTTGGATGTGTGTGTTTGGCACCTGTCCGAGTCAGTGGGAGTCCTGCATGGACACATGAGTGCAGAATTCAGCATTGATTTTGTCCAAAATTAAACCATACTACTTTTGAGCATTGTTATGGATATATTTATCCTGGGGAGCAGACATGCAGTTTGTGTTGACATTAACTGCAGTTAGAAGTTTGAGCTGCCCTAACAGATTTTAATTCCATTGCTAGTACTTCCTGTCTTTTACAGTCTCTGTTTCCTATTCATCTCAAGGAGAAATAATTAATTTGTCTTTTAGTCATCTATGATATCCTACCATCATGTAGAAAATAACTTTACAGTGATTGCAATTACCTTCCTTTGGTTAATTTCCTTGATGATCAGCTGACACATCTTTTCAGTCTTTATTTTTTTTTAATTGTTTTCATCTAGTAAAAGGTTCGGTTTATACAAATGTTCTGCAGTCTGTCATTCTTTGTTATTTATACGCTATTCTAACTTGGCTTTCTACTACAAATTAGCTGGAAAGGTTCCTGTGCCCTTCTTTCATTTTCATTTTGTTTTTTTTTTTCTTCTCTAGATCACAAAGTCCACCAGGGAAGGGTCTATACAGGAACGTCTCTTGCCACAACCAGAGTTGTCGGATGGAATTCCTCAGGTCGGCCTCCGATTAACTGACAGTAGTGCATGTTTGGAGGAAATGGATTTACCAGATGAAATCTCTTTCATTAACAGTGCTGCATTCTTCTCCAGGTTAGTGCTCCTTTCTTTTCATAAAATACATCTGTGGATGTGTTTATATTCGGAGTATTACTGTATGGCCAGGACAGAAAGCAGGTGTGTAGCTTTGTATCAGTATTGTAAATGCTGCTGATGCTCAGATTTTAATCTTAAAGCAGCCAGTTCCTTTTACATTAAATAGGGCCTGCATCATGTTACCATCTGCATGGAATAAAACATTATGCTAGATGCCTAACTAAGCAAGGGGACCATAATTCACCCAGATTCCCAAATGCCCTGACGCTCTTTGAAATGCAGTTTAAGACATCCATGATTTAAGACTAATGTATTTCTAAGATACTAATTGGAAACTATGGAAAATATTCAAATATACTCTAAATAAGAGGATACATACCTAAGCCGTTTTTATGATGTCTTCAATTTTATGTTTCATAGGCATGTGGGGGCAATTTTTAAGCACTCCTGTTGGGAGCCAGTGAAGAGGGAAAAAGGGTAGCTTAAAAATACTTTTAAAAAATAAAATTTCTCAGCCATACTGTAATAAAAGGGCATCAGTTCATTTTTGCTTTGTTCACAGTTTATTACGCTAAGTTTAATATTGAAATAAATTTCACTAACTGGTAGAACTTAATCCCGTATTGCTTTCTGTATATACCATTACCTGGCAATCCAGCTCTTTTCTTCATTTATACACATGTTCATGCGCACATGTGCCTACTCTTATGGCACACTTGCACATAGGGCTGAATTATTAAAAACGTGCATGGTCCAAATGGAGTACTGTGTGCAAACAGATATTCAGATGCATATATAAAAAGAACACACAAGTTTGTTCCCCATAAAAATTTGCATGCATATAAACCTGGCCTGTTTTGTAAAGGAATGTGGTTGAGAAAGCTGTTAAACATTTGAAACTGTGTTGAGAAATGTAGATGTGTTTCTGGAATAACTGAACACACAAACTGAAGGAAGGTTGCTCTTGCCGCAGGCTTCCTATGTGACTTTAGTCTTGTGACTTAATCTTTCTGTGTCTGAGTTTCTCTGTTTGTAAAATGGGATAATAATACTTACTTGGCTTATAGGAAGGTTTTGAAGCTAAATTCATTAAAGTTTTTAAAGTCACCCTTGAATGGAAGGAAGTACAAAATATTAAAATTAAAAAAATGGTCAATATGGTGCAGTGGTTTCTGAGGCTGCTGTGTCAATGTGAGCACACTAAAAATGTGTGTATATGTACATTATATATTACATCTGTATGTGTCTGCACGTGCACACACAGGATGGACGATGCGCTGGGAATGAATGAGTTGTGTAGTGCGGTGGTTCTCAACCAGGGGTACCTGGTTCTCAACCAGGGTTCTCAACCAGGGGTGGTTCTCAACCAGGGGTACCTGTACCCATGGGGTACGCAGAGGTCTTCCGGGGGTACATCAACTCATCTAGATATTTGCCTAGGTTTACAACAGGCAACATAAAAAACACTAGCGAAGTCCGTACAAACAGATATTCAGGTGCACATGTACAAACTAATATTTCACACAGTGATTTGTTTATACTGCTCTATATACTGTACACTGAAATGTAAGTACAATATTTATAGAAAAGTACAACCCCTGCCAATGAGTTCCACGGATTGACTGTGCATTGTGTGAAGAGGAACTTCCTTACATTTGTTTTAAACATGCTGCCTATTAATTTAATTGGGTGACCCCTGGTTCTTGTGTTAAAATAACACGTCCTTATTCACTTTCTCTCCATACCATTCACGATTTTATAGACCTCAGTCATGTCCCCCCTCAGTCATCTCTTTTCCAAGCTGAACAGTCGCAGTCTTTTTAATCTCCCCTCATACGGAAACTGTTACACACCCCTAGTCATTTTTGTTGACCTTCTCTGTACTTTTTTCATTTGTAATATACTTTTTTTGAGATGGGGCGACCAGAACCGCACAGTCTTCAAGGTGCAGATATACCATGGATTTACATAGAAGCAATATGATATTTTGTCTCTTATTATCTGTCCCTTTCCTAAAGGTTCCTAATATTGTTAGTTTTTCTGACTGTCACTGCACCTTGAGCAGATGTTTTCAGAGAACTATCCTCCATGACTGTAAGATCTTTCTTGAATGGTAACTTAGACCCCTTCATTTTGTATGTATAGTTGGGATTATGTTTTCCTATGTGCATTACTTTGAATTTATCAACATTGAATTTCTTCTGCCATTTTGGTGCCCAGTCACCCAGTTTTGTGAGATCCCTTTGGAGTTCTTCTCAGTCTGCTTTGGATTTAACTATCTTGAGTAATTTAGTATTTTCTGTTCACTGTTCACCCTCTTTTTCCAAATCATTTATGAATATTTTGCACGGCACAGATCCCACTGTTTACCTCTCTCCTTTGTTTCCCATCTTTCAACCAGTTACTGATCCACGAGAGTACCCTCTCTTATCCCATGACTGCTTACTTTGCTTAAGAGCATTTGGTGTTGGACCTTTTTCAAAGACTTTCTGAAAGTCCAAGTATACTGAATCCGCTGGATTATCCTTGTCCACATGCTTCCTGACTCTCTCAAAGAATTCTAATAGATTGGTGAGGCATGATTTCCCTTTACAAAGTTAACTATGCAAAGTATTGTTTGCAGTCAAGGTATATTGCAGTGCATAAAATATGTATTTTATCCTTTCTGAAGTCCCTGCCCTGCACCATGTTGACTATTGATATAGAGAACAATTTTATGTTGAGGTTGAAGTATTTCTGTACGTATAAAAAGAGATAATTTTGTCTTTCAAAATAGGTGGAGTACTGTTTGTACCAGCAATCTGTGCCAGGTACCTAATATATATGTTCTCTCAAGAATTACATCATCTTTAAAACTATGTGCTAAGGGCAAACTGCTTTGCATACAGTAGCAGAAAAACACAACTTTAAGCCAGGCCCTGTGGAAGAAGGGGTAAAGTGAATAAGCATGTGCGCGCACACATTTTCCCAGGACTTCTCCCATTTTGAAAGTGCGTGGGTATAAATGGCTGTCAGAGCTCTACCAGCTAGAAAAGAGGAACATGCATAAGGCTCTTATCCAGCAAAGCACGTGCTTAACTTTAAGCACTGGTCCCATTGACTTCATTGGGATTAATTGTGCACTTAAAGTTTTGCGTGGCTTAAGTGCTTTGGATTGAGGTTCAAATGGATTTTTGGTTTCAGGAACAGGGTTTGTGAAGCTTATTCAGTCACAAAGGAGGAAAGGCCTCCTTCTGCCAAAGTCTCTAACATACAAGTTTGAAGCTACGTGTGCCCAAATATAACAGTAACAGAAAGCGTAAGGCTTTCTACAGCACAAAGGTAAGAGTGAAAAATGCTTCCCACAGCCAAAGCCCAAGGTGGGAGTGTGTTGTGCTGAGCAGAGGTCCTTTCCGGATGCTGTTTATATTTCTGTAGAGTACCAGATGTTTGCTACCTATGGACTTGTTAGCATCTACCATCATGAATCCCCTGCCAATTAATAAGGCTTTGCTGCGTATCGCTCATAGCCATTGCATATTGGGGCTGCATCCATTCTTGATCCTGGCAGCATTTTCAAGGACATTTGCCTGTACTGGGAGATTAACACTGTCCTTGCTAGACACAGCCATTACACACAGACTTACCTGGCTAAGAAGTGTTTTTCCAGGTACCTGCTTTATCACCAATTTACATATTCAGGTGGTGGGGGAAAAAATCTGCAGGGAAATTTGAAAGAAAAATTACATGCAGATTCCAGGACCTGAAACCTTAGAGCAAGCCGCCAGTCTGAAGTCACTTGGGGATCCTAAAGTGTAAACCAGCTTTTGGAGTGCTTTTCATCCATTCTCACCTTGTGTCATAGATCATAAACTCTTGTTTATGGCTGCAGTCTTAGCTGCCGTGGGATTTGCCAGCAGAACTACCGTGTAGTAGCTTTC